TTAGTACTTTGGGAATAAGGAAGGGGTGGGAGTAGGAGAAGGTGCAGGATAGGGGTCGCAGGAGTAGTGGTAGTGGTGGTGGTGGTAGAAGAAGTAGTAGTAGTAGTAGTAGTAGTAATAGTAGTAGTAGTAGTAATTTGTAGTAGTAGTAATTAGTAGTAGTAGCAGTAGTAGTAGTACTATAGGGGAAGGGGGAGTGGGGGTGGACACGATTCAGGCGAAGCAGAAACGCGGAGCAAGAGAACAAAGGAACAAGTACAAGCGAAAAATACAAACAGGAACAGCACCTTCCAACCAGACACGCCGGCAGGCCGGCAGAATTTCATACACATAATACCATATACATACATTTCTTAGTTTACATGCATACATACATACGTACATAGATACAGCCATACGTCCATACGTCCACACATCCATACATCCGTACAACCATACATCCATACATACATTCATACATACACCGTACATACATACGCACGTACGTACGTACGTACGTACATACAAACATCCATACATGCATTCATCCATACATGCATTCATCCATACATGCATACGTGCATGCGTGCATACGTGCATACATGCAAAAACGCATTCGCCCATACACACATACATACATACATCCATACATCCATACATGCACAGTTGTATCATGTACATGTCTCGTTCACATGTGTCATATACAAGCATTAGACAAGTTTACATTTACATGCATACACAACATTTACATGCGTTTGCATACATTTGCACGCATATACATACACATACACACATAAACATACGTATACACTATACATAAAATTACATACATATACATACATATACATACTAATACATACATATACATACGCACACATACACATACACGTATACAAATATTGCACACACACACAACATACACACATGCATACTCAGATACCTACCTACATGCCCACCGACATTTGTACCAGTAGTACCGCACAAGGCGGTGGCGGAAGTTTCAAAAATAGGAAACCTATAGGAGAGGTTGGTTGTTGTGAATCAGGGATGGCAGAGCGAAGCCACTGATGGACTGAAAGGTGCTTGATCTCTCTCACTCTTTCTATCTCTTTCTCTGACTATCTACCTACCTACCTATCTATTTTCTATGTATCTATCTATCTATCGATCTATCTATCTATCTATCTATCTCTCTCTCTCTCTTTCATCTAACTACCCAATCTATCTATCTATCTATCTATCTATCTATCTATCTATCCATCTATCTGTCTATCTATCTATCTATCTATCTACCTGTCTATCTATCTATCTATCTAATCTTATCTTATCTAATCTTATCTTATCTTATCTTATCTTATCTTATCTTATCTTATCTTATCTATCTATCTATCTATCTATCTATCTCCCTTTCATCTGTCTATCTGTCTAGCTGTCTACCTGTCTATCTTCTATCTTCTATCTATCTATCTATCTATCTATCTATCTATCTATCTATCTATCTATCTATCTGTCTACCTGTCTACCTGTCTATCTGTGGTGCAGTGTCATTCAGTGTATTGTAGTGTAGTGTAATGTAGTGTAGTGTAGTGGAGTGTAGTGGAATGTAGTGTAGTGTAGCGTAATGTAGTGTAGTGTAATTTAGTGTGGTGGAGTGTAGTGGATTGTAGTGGAGTGTAGTTGTAGTTGTAGTTGTAGTTGTAGTGTAGTCGAGTGTAGTGTAGTGTAACGTAGTGAAGTGTAGTGGAAGGTAGTGTAGTGTAATGTAGTGGAGTGGAGTGTAGTGTAGTGGAGTGGAGTGTAGTGGAGGGCAATGTAGTGTAGTGTAGTGTAATTTAGTGTAGTGGAGTGTAGTGGAGTGTAGTTGTGTAGTTGTAGTTGTAGTGTTGTGGAGCGTAGTGTAGTGTAATGTAGTGTAGTGGAGTGTAGTGTAATTTAATGTAGTGTAGTGTAGTGGAGCGTAGTGTAGTGTAATGTAGTGTAGTGAAATTTAATGTAGTGGAGTGTAGTGGAGGAGTGTAGTCTAGTTGTGTAGTTGTAGTTGTAGTGTTGTGGAGTGTAGTGTAGTGTAATGTAGTGTAGTATAGTGGAGTGTGGTGTAATGTAACGTAGTGTAGTGTAGTGAAGCGAAGCGGCGAAGCGACATCTGAACCTCCAAAAATGGTCCGAACCCTAGTGTTTTGTACATTTTGACTTCGAAATGTGCTTCGTGCCACAACGGCGTGCACTTTTTCGACATCGCAACTTCCAAAAGTGGTCCGACCATGGTGTGTTTTGTACATTTTGACTTCGAAATGTGCTTCGCGCCACAACGGCGTGCAATTTTTCAAAGCACGGGCAAAAGGGGCCCCAGAAATGCGACCAGAAGCCGAGAAGCCGAGAAGCCGAGAAGCCCGACACAAGCCGAGAAGCCGAGAAGCCGCGAAGTACGACACAAGCCGAGAAGCCGAGACAGCCGAGAAGCCGAGAAGCCCGGCACAAGCCGAGAAGCCAAGAAGCCGAGAAGCCACCGGACAAGCCGAGAAGCCGCGAAGCCGAGGAGCCGCCGGGCAAGCCGAGAAGCCGCGAAGCCGAGAAGCCGCCGGGCAAGCCGAGAAGCCACCGGACAAGCCGAGAAGCCGAGAAGCCGAGAAGCCACCGGACAAGCTGAGACAGTAGCCCTGGAACCCCCTCTGAACACTATGTTGCATCTTCACCGTCACAAGACATCAACTCCCCAACCCCCCCTGAACAATACGTTGCACCTTGAGACATCAGCCCCGCCACCCCCTTTGAATATCTGTTGCATCTTCGAAGATCAAGCCAGCGACCCCCTCTGAACACTACCTCGCCCCGTTAAACTTCTACATTCATTGAAGATCTTCAATGAGGGTTTAATTCTCCCAGCCCCTTCAAACTTCTACATTCATCGAAGATCTTCAATGAGGGTTTAATTCTCCCAGCCCCGTTAAACTTCTACATTCATGGACGATCTTCAATGAGGGTTTAATTCTCCCAGCCTCGTTAAACTTCTACATTCATTGACGATCTTCAATGAGGGTTTAATTCTCCCAGCCCCGTTAAACTTCTACATTCATTGAAGGTCTTCAATGAGGGTTTAATTCTCCCAGCCCCTTCAAACTTCTACATTCATCGAAGATCTTCAATGAGGGTTTAACTCTCCCAGCCCCGTTAAACTTCTACATTCATTGAAGATCTTCAATGAGGGTTTAATTCTCCCAGCCCCGTTAAACTTCTACATTCATTGACGATCTTCGGTGAGGGTTTAATTCTACCAGCCCCGTTAAACTTCTGCATTCATCGAAGATCTTCAATGAGGGTTTAATTCTCCCAGCCCCGTTAAACTTCTGCATTCATTGAAGATCGTCAATGAGGGTTTAATTCTCCCCAGCCCCGTTAAACTTCTACATTCATTGAAGATCTTCAATGAGGGTTTAATTCTCCCCAGCCCCGTTTAACTTCTACATTCATTGACGATCTTCAATGAGGGTTTAATTCTCCCAGCCCCGTTAAACTTCTACATTCATGGACGATCTTCAATGAGGGTTTAATTCTCCCAGCCCCGTTAAACTTCTACATTCATTGACGATCTTCAATGAGGGTTTAATTCTCCCGAGCCCCGTTAAACTTCTACATTCATTGAAGATCTTCAATGAGGGTTTAATTCTCCCCACCCCCGTTAAACTTCTACATTCATGGACGATCTTCAATAAGGGTTTAATTCTCCCCAGCCCCGTTAAACTTCTACATTCATCGAAGATCTTCAATGAGGGTTTAGTTCTCCCCGCCCCGTTAAACTTCTACATTCATGGACGATCTTCAATGAGGTTTTAATTCTCCCCAGCCCCGTTAAACTTCTACTTACTTTGACGATCTTAAATAAGGGTTTAATTCTCCCCACCCCCGTTAAACTTCTACATTCATGGACGATCTTAAATGAGGGTTTAATTCTCCCCAGCCCCGTTTAACTTCTACATTCATGGACGATCTTCAATGAGGGTTTAATTCTCGCCAGCCCCGTTAAACTTCTACATTCATGGACGATCTTCAATGACGGTTTAATTCTCCCCAGCCCCGTTTAACTTCTACATTCATTGACGATCTTCAATGAGGGTTTAATTCTCCCAGCCCCGTTAAACTTCTACATTCATGGACGATCTTCAATGAGGGTTTAATTCTCCCGAGCCCCGTTAAACTTCTACATTCATTGACGATCTTCAGTGAGAGTTCAATTCTCCCCACCCCCGTTAAACTTCTACATTCATGGACGATCTTCAATGAGGTTTTAATTCTCCCCAGCCCCGTTAGACTTCTACATTCATTGACGATCTTCAATGAGGGTTTAATTCTCCCCACCCCCGTTAAACTTCTACATTCACTGACGATCTTCAATGAGGGTTTAATTCTCCCGAGCCCCGTTAAACTTCTACATTCACTGACGATCTTGAACGAGGGTTTAATTCTCCCCAGCCCCGTTAAACTTCTACTTTCTTTGACGATCTTAAATAAGGGTTTAATTCTCCCCAGCCCCGTTAAACTTCTACATTCATGGACGATCTTCAAAAAGGGTTTAATTCTCCCCAGCCCCGTTAAACTTCTACATTCATGGACGATCTTAAATGAGGGTTTAATTCTCCCAGCCCCGTTAAACTTCTACATTCATGGCCGATCTTCAATGAGGGTTTAATTCTTCCCAGCCCCGGTAAACTTCTACATTCATTGAAGATTCAGATCTTCAATGAGGGTTTAATTCTCCCAGCCCCGTTAAACTTCTACATTCATTGACGATCTTCAAAGAGGGTTTAATTCTCCCAGCCCCGTTAAACTTCTACATTCATCGAAGATCTTCAATGAGGGTTTAATTCTCCCAGCCCCGTTAAACTTCTACATTCATTGACGATCTTCAATGAGGGTTTAATTCTCCCAGCCCCGTTAAACTTCTACATTCATGGACGATCTTCAATAAGGGTTTAATTCTTTCAGCCCCGTTATATATAAACTTCTACATTCATTGACGATCTTCAATGGGGGTTTCCGTGTCGCGCCGCGACGCAACGCCGTGTGCACTCTTGCAGAAGAAAGCGTCGCAGCGCCAACAGCGTCGCAGCGTCGCTCCCGCGTCGCAGCGTCGCAGCGTCGCAGCGCCAACAGCGTCGCAGCGTCGCTCCCGCGTCGCAGCGTCGCAGCGTCGCAGCGCCAACAGCGTCGCAGCGTCGCTCCCGCGTCGCAGCGTCGCAGCGTCGCAGCGTCGCAACAGCGTCGCAGCGTCGCTCCCGCGTCGCAGCGTCGCAGCGTCGCAGCGCCAACAGCGTCGCAGCGTCGCTCCCCGCGACGCAGCGTCGCAGCGCCAACAGCGTCGCAGCGTCGCACGTCGCAGCAGCGCCAACAGCGTCGCAGCGTCACTCCAGCGTCGCAGCGTCGCAGCGCCAACAGCGTCGCAGCGTCACTGGCCCAACGGCAGCGTCGCAGCGTCCCAGCGCCACCCGCCCCCCGGAGCGTCGCAGCGTCGCAGCGTCGCAGCGCCACCCGCCCCCGGGAGCGTCACAGCGCAACGTCGGAAACCCACGCTTCGGCCCCCTTTGCCCCTGCACTGCAATTTTTCATCTCTCCTCTGGCCAGCTGGCTCCGCACCCGCCGCTTTAGCGAGCCTACTTTTCGACCCTCCGGAGCCACAAATCATTGGAAAAACACAGTGTTTCGCGACTTTCCTACCTTTTCGCGCATCTGCATCTTCTGTCTTCTTACTCTTTCTCTTCTACTCTTCTTTCTTCTAATCTTTCTCTTCTCGCTGCCTCTTCCCTGCTCTGCTTTTCATCTCTCCATATTGTCGGAAGTTTGACTTCTAAACTTCCTTCGAATATTTACATATACATATATGCATGTATGTACACAAGTACTTGCATGCATGCATGTGCGCAGAAGAAAACGCCAGGTGGGCGCTCGGCATCTATTTGATTATTCACGCATCGGCATCGGCTGAAATTTTCCCTAAAAACTTTAAGGCATTGCATTTGCGGGTAACTTCGCACAAGCTCTCGCTGTGGTCACTTTTTGCTACATGCAACACATTTTGCCCTGCCACAACGAGAATGCGGGGTATATGCACAACTCCACCACTTCTTATACTGCTCAGGCCGGATTCACATTGACAGCTGCCCAGCCTGTCACCATTCCGGCGCGTGGCAAGGCTTTTTTGATTTCTCAAATGCTTGTGGCATCCCTAACCCCAAACCATTTCACAGTTTGATTGCATGCAGGGCATTGTCAAGACCGGCCTCGCTATCGCAATTCCAGAGGATTTGCCTTGACATGTCCAGAGAAAGATGTATGGAGACGTGTCACGTAGTCACTCTACCTTTGCTAATTATTCTAGTAGCTAGCTCAAACGCAATCGTTCAGGATTCGTATGCTCGAGTCGCTCCAATCTCAAACCTTGCGACAGACCGGATGAGCCTTTCACTAAATTTGATTCACAAATTCGCAGTTCAGTGAAGCGTTAGCCAAAGGCTTTTGTATTTGGCAGAACAAGATCAAGAGAATTCGTTGGCTCCACCTCTGCAAGATCAACATGGATTGCAAGGATTGACACCGGTGCTGGAGTGGTGGACTATGACTACCGCGGAGAGGCCTGGGAGCTGCCAGGCCCAGTGTGATACAGTATCAGCACTTTTCATGATCTGTGATCTTTTTGTTTCGACAGGTCGGAGTTGTTCTCTTCAATCACGGTCCGGAGGCTTCCTGCACTTCTTTCCACAGTACGACATGAAAAAGATTAGATTTGGTGTTGCCACCAGTCACGACAGCCACAACGGTTCAACGCCCGCAAGGACTTCTTGGTAGCTGTTGGGGATGATGTGGCCCAGCTCATTCTGGAGAGTCTCGGATGGCAACATCATTGCAGTTCTGATGTGCTCTGATTGTCACAGCTGCTGGGGTTCTGTTTCAAACAATCAAAACATAGCTACGCAGCTCCGCTCAACAGCTAAGGAAGATTTGTATGGCAGAATGTAGGGAGGTTGAGCAGCTTGGTTGCAGTGCCACGAGGATTAAATCCGCCCGCACCGAAGGTGCCGAGGCGTGGTAGTTTGGCAGCGAGGGATACGACTGGACAGATCTGTCAGACTGGCACAGCTTCAGCTCACTTTTGAAGAGATTGCAAAAAAGTGCATGGGATTGTAGTAATTTGATGCAATTTGCACCTTTTGCAGATGGGCCCAATATCGTCCAGATGGACCGTTTCGGTCCAACATGGCCGCAACATCGGCCCATATCGGCCCGACTTGGGGTCCAGCACGGCCCCAACTTTGGCCCAACTTGGGCCGACTTGGCTCCAATTTCGGCCCAACTTGCCTCCAAGATGGCGCACCTTGGCCCCAATGGGCCGATTTGGGAGCAACTTCGGCCCAAGTTGAGGTCCATATGATCCATATAACTGGGCGACATGAAATCTTCAAAACGCCCGTTTTCACTGGTATTTTCCGCGTTTTTTTCCTATCGATGACGCTTGGTTTGAAGCAGGGTTCTCCATGTTGTGTCTCCGTTGGGCGCAACTTGGTGTGAAGCTGTCGCCAAAGGTGCCAAGTTGTTGGAACTGACGTTGACTTCCATGTGCATGACGTGGCTTCAAGTTGGAATCCATCTAGATCGCTTTGGGCCCAACTCAGCCCGACATGATCTGTTGGCGCCAACTTGGGCTCCAGCTGGGCCCAAGACAGCGCAACTTTGGCGCAAGTTTGGGAGAGGCGGGGCCCCTTTGAAGGCAGCCGGGCCAAGATGGGCCCAACCCGAGCCAATTTTGCGGATTCAGACACGCTGAAAATTTCATTTCTATCGCTATTTCCAACGTTGCCCATTGGGCTTGTATTGGGCCCAGATGCGCCCACACATGCTAAGCCCATGTTGGACCCCAGTTGGGCTCAAGTAGGGCGCAAGTTGGAGCCCACGGCCCGGAGCTCGGAGCAAGTTACGCCCAAGTTGGGCCCAAGTGAGCTCCTGTTCGGCCCAATTTGTTCTCAGTCGGCTTTTGGTTGGGCCAAGTAGGCCCGCTTCTTTCCTCTCCGTCAAATTCCCTGTGTGTGGGCGGCAAGAAAGAAAGTGAGACGCAAAACGGTCAGTACTTCACACCCGTACCATGCTTGACAGATGGATGTGCTTTCCATTGTTTTCCAACGTTTGCGCCTTCTTCCACAACAATGTTGTCACAGGGCACAAGGGAAGATGTAATAGGACAAGTTTTTCTTTAACCACACCGGGATTCAAGCCAACAAGTTTGCTCACACATGAGAATAGGTGTGGACGAGAAGCCGCGCATCCCGTTGAATTTTTTGCAGACTGTGCATGTTCTGCTGGGTTTGGATGAATTTGGCTGATCAGTTTGTGCACAAAGGTGAAAATATAAAAAATCATGTATATATTCCTGTTTTTAGCCTCTCCGCTCATGTTTGTTGCGTCTTCATCACTTCATTCGCATGCCTTGCCAAGTTGGCAGTTGGCCCTGTGTTGTTTTTGCCACATTCCTGCACACCATGCAAATCTGGTGGAAGCTAAGAAGCAAACTCACCCCATCTCACCCCTGTACCAACTAGTGAAAATTAAAGGCTGATATCAGATGAGATACCGTAAGCGAATAGAAAACATACCTGGAGTGGGGGGAGCACTTGTCTTGATGATATTTGACAATCAGACATGACAAATCGGTAATCCCAAATTTTGTGGTATCGGTACTGTGAAACCCGGAGAGAGGAGCATAGAGACTTCCCAGTTGATTGTACTACAATTTGCAAGTGCTGTCGCCTTTGACGTTTTGCGATGTTTTGGTCGGGGCGGGGTTGGGATTTGGGGAACGGAGGGGTGGTCGTGGTGCCGCCGGAATGAGCACCAGCAGGCTTGCTGCATCCGACTGCTGTAGCTGCCAACTCTGATCGGATCTTCCCTGTATTGAGACTGGCTGCCAATTGACAGGTATACTGCCCTGAAAGCATTCCAAGCGGGACGTCAAAAGTTTGCTAGAAACTGTAAATGACCGGCCGTTTGCTTCATTTACCAGGTACTTCTACGGCAGATGCCCTTCCCAAACAGTTTGCCCCTTCCAAACAACTTTCTGACGCCGTGTTGGAGTCATTTTTGGAACATCCGACTTCTTGAGTTGGACTTGCTGGATTCTGGATTGACCGCTACTACTACCAAGATAAACCAAAATTACTCAAGATTACTCAAGATTATCAGTTCGGCACTATCACTCTCCAGCCTTCTCGTGGCGACCAAACAGCTGCCTGGCTGAATGTTTAGGTCACTGAATGAGACTTTGCGAGGAAGCGGCGGTTTCGGAAGCACTGGAGTTTCTGGGGAGGTGCAACAAGTGTCTGTTACACACACAGATAAAGATAACATAGACCCGGGCAAGCCGGCGGCGGAAGTTTCCCAAACATAAATGACCTATAGTTCAAAGACAACCTGTCCCGACCGTGTCCTTCCCTCGACACTCCACACCTCACACTGCACACTGCACTCTTCGCACTTCAAACTTCAAACTTCACACTCCACACTTCACACTCCACACTTTCACTTCTCACTGCTTCCTTCACACTCCAAACCTCACACTTCACACTTCACACTTCACACTGCACACTTCACACTTCACAGTCCACACTTCACACTTCACACTTCACAGTCCACACTTCACACTTCACAGTCCACACTTCTCACTTCGCACTTCACACTTCACACTTCACACTCCACATTTCACACTTCTCACTTCTCACTGCTTCCTTCACACTCCAAACTTCACACTTCACACTTCACACTTCGCACTTCACACTCCACACTTCACACTCCAAACTTCACACTTCACACTTCTCACTTCGCACTTCACACTCCTCACTGCTTCCTTCACACTCCTAACTTCACACTTCTCACTTCGCACTTCACACTCCACACTTCACAGTCCACACTTCACACTTCTCACTTCTCACTGCTTCCTTCCCACTCCAAACTTCACACTCCAAACTTCACACTTCACACTTCTCACTTCGCACTTCACACTCCACACTTCACTCACACTTCACACTTCACACTCTCACTGCTTCCTTCACACTCCAAACCTCACACTTCACACTTCACACTGCGCTCTTCGCACTCCACACTTAAACTTCACACTCCACACTTCACGCCCCACACGTCCAACTGCTCTAAACTTACGTGCAACAAAAAAAACTAGCGCCAAAATGGAGAAAATCATAGGGCTTTGGGTCTGATGTCTGAAAAAAAAATGGCCCAGAAAGTCATACATTCAACAAACCACAAAACTCCAACCCATGCTGCACAAGGCATTGAGAGGATCTCAGTGAGAGCTTGCATTGACTCGCTCCCATGACAGCTTTGTTTTTTCACATGTATGCAATACGATCATGGTTGTTTGTGCGGTTCGTAACAACGCACACATAAACCAAAAGCAAGTGACAGAGGCATTCTGCGGTTCGCAAGGCTAAATGAAAGGCGAATCTACTGAAGGACAGCAATTCAAACTCGGATGCGGTTCATAACAACGCACACCCAGCCCGTGGCAGTCAAGCGAGAGTCGATCCCAATCGCTGATGGTGTCCTTGACCCATCAGCGACCAGCACGTCATGCACAACACATGGCCATCCAATGCCTGTGCAAAGTCAAGTGGTTATAGTGGTGAATTACAGGGATCGGACTATGGGAATTTATTACTTAAACTACGCTTGGCTTGTGCAACCGTGGCGTCTGCGTCCCATCCTCAAAGATAACATGTGCGACACAGGCAGCACATAACTGCATACCCGCGTGCGTGTCTTGTGAGAGGCCACGTGGTTGTAGTGGTGAACTACAGGGATCGGACAATGGTAATTAATCACTTAAACCACGTTGGGCTTCTGCAAGAGTGGCATGTGCGACCCTGTCCTCACAGACAACATGTGTCACACAGGCAGCACCTAACTGCATACCCGCATGCAAGGCCTGTGAGAAGACTACGAGTTGCTGCTCTAAAACAAGAATAATGGTGAGATTCACATCCTTATGATCTAAGACAATAATCATGTCCGCGGGCCAAAACACCGAACGAACAGTGGAACCACAAGTTGCTCACATGTCCAAAACAATTCTTTCTCAATTACTTGAAGCAGAAACATGTGTTAGCAATGGCATTTCTCGAATGCATATGTACCAAAAACACATCATGTCTGTTTCTGTTACCCATAACACATGCGTAGGCAACAAACATCATGTCTGTTTCTGTGAGCCATAACCGACCGACGTCTAACATTACTACTGAAGCCACAACCAGGGACACTAATGCCGTCACTTCTACTTCCCACTGTCATTACCTAAAAAGGGGCCAGTCCAAACAGTTACAATACTCATTGTCACTACAGTTACAGCCACAACGGTCATTGTCAAAGTAGTCTTTGTCATAGTATCTAAGGTCACAGTAGTCATGGTCAGAATCGTTTGATATCTGCAACAGTCACATCAGGTATGGTCACACTAATCAAAGTCACGGTGGTCATTTTATGGACGTTATCAACATACAACCGCACGAACGATGGAATTACGATTTGAACCAACCACCCAAAACACAAATGATTCGAAACCTGCGTCAACGATGCCTGCCTATCCTATCGTCTGCGTCCTCCCTTACATCCTTCCCGCCGCATTCATTTTTTGTCGGTTTAATCTGCGATGTCCTCGGTTTAGCCATTCTGCGCACTGAGCTTTGGTTTTGTGGCAACGCAAAGCGTACCAGAGACTTCGGCTTTCTCCAATGGCCCCAATCCGAACTTTTGGCGCTCTAGTCATTCACCACAGGTGGCTGCACACTTGCCGCCGTGCTCGTGTGACTCTCCAGCGCCGCCTCGACCATGCTGGACGCGGAACACAACTTCGCACGTCCAG